TACGGTTTAGCAGAGACGTTCTTCATGCCATATGATTATGTCTTCATAATTAAATATTAATTTGATTAACCTATATGTATCTAGTTTTCTATTCTAAAAGCAATATAGGTGTTACACTACGGTATTTCATATACAAAAATGTTAAATATGATTAATTGCTACATGAATATGTTTTCTTTATTTATAATTTGATTAGTTAAACCATGTTGTTTTCTTTATTTATAATTTGATTAGTTAAACCATGTTGCATATATTAAAAAATAGGTGTTCTCACATGCTACTTTATTTTGTAAGGTTACGGTTTAATTTGCTTAATTTATACTACAACATTTATGAATAAAATATGATTAGGTTTAACTTCCGAAGGAAATACAAATTGACTAATCTGTGTTGTCATTCATATGAGTTTTCTTAATTAAAATAAACCAAACCTGTAGTTGTTTCTTCACTTTTATAATATAATTAAATTTTTCAATAGTCATTTGTTTTTAGTCGTTAGCTCCGTTTTTTGCATCTCTTGCATTCTTGTGACCGTAAGCACGAGCTCCCTTTTAGCACGTTGTTTTTAAAGCTTTTGCTATGATTGTTGTAATGTGCTTAGCTGTCTTTGCTTTGTATGTTTGTATGTTCTTTGTGCTTGGTGCTTGCTTCGAGTAGAACGAGAACCGTCTATGAGCACTGAAGAGGAGAAGATGATGACCAGAAGCAAAGTATGTGAAAAATATGAGCAAGAGTAAAAAGCAAGTATATCATGGGATCATCCTTGTTGCCCATTCACCTTTAATCATTTAATACATGATGCATGTGTCTATCTTATTACCCTTAAGGATATCCTAGTTGTTGATAACTTGTGACTTGATACCTATGGGATAATTGCATTAGATAGTATTTTGCTAGTGCTTAGATTAAATAATCATGATCTGTAACCTGACTAATGGTATATGCAATAAACGTTAAAATATGATTTTTAGCAACATGGAATAAGGGGGCTTGAGCATTGTTTTTGTGGTGCTCTAGATTTCTCTCCTTAAGGACTTATCTGTAAGTGGATTCCCTCAAGACTTACAACCATGAGTGCTATATGGCTCTAACTTTAGTCAAGTATGAGGACCTTTTCTAGCTCGTAGTAGCTTATCGAAAGGCGCAAGAGGGACTCCGATCTGTATATTCCCGGTCTATCAAAAGGGTGCACTTTGGTTTCTTTGTATTTTTGTTAGTCATCCTTTGGAGGGGAGTTCATGCTTATTGATGGGGAAACCTAGCGGGCTACACTTGTTAGACGAATTTTTGAAAGACTTTATAGTGATCGAAGCCTGCTCACCTTGAAAGTGTTTTGGGAGTAATTAACCCGGGCATATGGGTATCACGGCTCATGGTGAAAGTGTACAACATCTACAGAGTGTAAAACTGGTATATCAGCTGTGCTCACGGTCACGAGCGGCCTGTGTTGCTTACTGAATAGATGATGAACACTAATGATACTGATGCTCACTTATAATAATTGTTTTTGCTATACATTAATCTTGTTTACATGATCGTGTGGTTATTTGGGGCTTACGCTAAACTTGTTGCTACTCAATTGCTAAAATTGTGACTTACTAAAAACCAATTATAGTAAACCAGTGTCAACCTTTTGAGCCTCATGAATCCCATGTTATATTGCTGAGTACGACATGCACTTATGCTTGCTTTACTTTTTAATTCTTTGGAAAATCTCGGATGGGTACCAGATGATTAGGCTTGTGATCAACCAGTCAGTTGTCCCTATGGAGTGGAGTTTTCTTCTGAAGATCGGAGTGTTTTTCCGTTGTCTTCTATCTAAGGTTGTATTCTTTGTTTTAAGTACGTTATGTATTGAGCGTTGTCTTTTGATATTACCCTTATTTATAGCCATATATGTGATTTGACTTCCTAGGCTCATATATGGTGTGTATCTGGTTTTATTCTCAAAACCAGGGGCTACAACATGTGCTTCAGGGACTCACGATCCCAAGCGGATGTGTGCTCAAATGAGTTGGAACAACTCATGTCCAGCGTTGGTATAAAGTCTAATTTCAAGCTGAATTGGGTTCGCACTTTGCTAGTTTCTCTTTTGTTTTTCCAAAAATCCAGAATTTTTTTAACGGCGAAAATCCAGATTGACATTGGAAATTTTGCATGCAATGCAACAGTGCTTATCGTGCACATATGGGTATATGTGATTCAAACAATCCGAGGGCCGTATGGGTATGTTTGGATCCTGGGCAAGAAAAATACTAGCCTCGCTACAGTGTTTGGTAATAAAAAAACATAGCTTTTAGGGGCGACCTTGCCCCGCTCGCCCAGAAAATCATCGCTCCTGAGGGAGAGCCGATTCGGCTCGCCTTCAACAGCAAATCACGCTCGTGCCGAAGAAAATGTGTTCGAGACGATCTCATCCGCAACGAACTCTGCTTTTCCCCCGTCCACACCGCCATGTTCCTCAGCATCCCATGCGATTTTTGCTCCAACACCTCCATAAATCTAGCCAGATCTCAGTTTGCAGGCACCATAACCTCCAACCAGTAGCTCCATTCTCGTCCTCTCAAACTTGACCGCTGCGAGACCACGAAATCGATTTCCTGGGCTGGCTTCAGCAAGACAGAGAGCAGAGCAGGGAACGACAGAGAGCAGGGACGTAGGAGCAGGTTCCTCCTCTTCAGCTTGCAAGGTCCGTAATCAATCCCTAATGTCTATTTTTTCATCCAGAGATTAATTGTGATTGGAATACGCCTGAGGACTCTTTAGATTGGGGATTAATTCCATAGAGTAGATGGTGTGCTTAACGATTGGGCTCTGATATGGTGTGTGCGCAGCACACTGCAGTCTGCAGATCTATTTAAAGTATAATCATGAGATTTCTAGTCAATCCCCTCCACACATAGATATTTGCTACTGTATCAACAATTCCTTGAATGAACAAGTACTCTATTCTAATTACAAGAGGTGTTGTGAAGTGATTTTGGTGAAAATCTTACTCTGAGTTTCAGAGGTCTTTCTCTGCTATTGTTCTGGTTTTCCTGATTTTCATTTTTTATAAGTATTTACTTAGGCTAAAGTTTCTAAGATCTTAAAGGTGTTTCTCTTTCTCTTGTAAAGCAAATGGTGAAAATCTTGTCCTTAGTGTGGTTTCATATGAACTTTGTGATACCCTACTTATGTCCTCTGTATCAAAGAATTCATTTGATTTTTACTCTATACTTGTAGGTAGTTTAACAGTTTGTCCTTTGTTGTTTGATTACTATAGATGGATGACAGTGCTATTGTTAATAGAATGATTGCATTCATTAGCGCTTCTATTTTAGCATGGTTGATATTGGTGATATTTCAACGCAATACCGGTGATCCTATACGATACTAATTGTTAGAGAGGAATAAAGAAAGGCTGAAGTATCTACAGAACTGTATTATGGTGAGGAGAAACACTGCATCTCAGAGTTGCGCATGGGAAAGTCAGTGTTTTTCAAGCTGTGTCTAAAACTGCGTACTATGGGAGCACTTAGAGATACTTGGCATTGTACCATAGAGGAACAAATTGCCATGTTTCTCGCTACTGTAGGACATCATAAGAAAAACAGTGATATTAGTTTTCATTTCACAAGGTCAAGTGAAACCGTTAGCCGATATTTCAATCAAGATTTATATGCAATTGGACAACTTGGACCTGAAATGCTTAAGCATCGCTCTCTCGATATACCATAAAAAATTGTAGGCAACCCTCGGTTTGATCCCTATTTTAAGGTATGGCCCTTCACTATTTTATACCAAAATAGCTTATTAATAATATATTAGTATGTACTTATGTTCCTATACCAATTGAATGGCTAGGATTGCATCGGCGCAATTGATGGTACCCACATTCCTTGTAATGTTCCATCAAGGATTGTAGATAGGTTCCACGGTAGGAAAGGTTTTCCTACCCAAAATGTTCTTGTAGTGGTCGATTTTGATGTGATGTTCACGTATGTAAGTGCTGGTTGGGAGGGGTCCGCACATGATTCCACGGTCCTACGACATTCTCTTGAGCATCCAAATGGCCTTTGAGTCCCTGAAGGTTGGTGTCTAGTCTACCTTTGAAACACTTACATATACAACTTAGTGATATTAATTGTGTTCCCAATGGCCTGGTAGGTAAATACTACCTTGCAGATGTCGGCTACGCAGCAAGGAGAGGATTTCTACCTCCTTTTCGTCGAACTCGTTACCATTTGCGTGAGTGGAGGGGCAATAGAGCGCGGACACAAAATGAGCCATTGAACCTAAGGCACTCATCCCTCCGAGTTACTGTCGAGAGAGCATTTGGGACACTAAAAATCGTTTCAAAGTGCTGACAACAAGACCATATTATCCCTTCCCTTCACAAGTACGAGTTGTCATAGCATGTTGTATTCTTCATAACTGGATCTTACAAAATGGGGGACCTGATGAACTAGTCTATAGCGAACAAAGTTGGTTTGAGAACTATCCCAGAACAGCTGGACGTGTTCAACGAGATTTACGTGAGGAACAGAGGGAAGTACTCTGAGACACGGATGCCATAGCTAATAGTATGTGGAGAAATAGGAACAATGTTAGGCATGGCTGATGTGTGTTGTTCAGTCATCTATGAAATTATTTATTATTTTTGTGTTGCAATGTAAAGTAGTCCTTTTTATTGTATTCATGGATTTCTCTGAATGAAATGTAGTTTCTTTACATGAAGTATCTTAATTACATCCACATAGTCATATGAGGTATATGAATTTTGTAATCTCCAAAAATATTTTAAGGACCTGTTTGGCACGGCTCCTCCTGAGGGGCTCCTCCGGAGGAGCCGGAGCCGTTTTGGAGGAGCCACAATTTGTGGCTCCTACGACTCCGGCTCCTCTGTTTTTTACTGAAAAACGGCTCTTCCAAGAAAACGTTTGGCAGGGCTCCTCTGGAGGAGCCGGAGCCGGAGAGGAGCCCTGCCAAACAGGTCCTAAGTACTGTCGCATGCAGGGATGGCAGGAAATAACGTTGTGTGGCAGCCCCAGGTGGTGGAGGACATGTTACGGTACTACAAAGAGAAGATACAAGCTGAGGGAAGGCTAATGGTTTTTCGTGAGATACATCATGGGGAGTGCGCAAAACAAATTAATGCAAAGTATCACACAAATTTCACTCAGCGACAAGTTTACCACAAGTATCATAAGCTGAAAGGTCAATGGAAGGTTATTCTGCAAGCAAAGAATTTAAGCGGAGCAAACTTTGATGATGTTAAGAAAATGATACTTTATGATGAAACAGAGGTTGTCAGGATGCAGAATGTAAGTCTTTCCGTCCTTATAAATTTTATGCTTTTCTTAGGACTAAGGAAAATAATGGACCCCCGGCTGCAACGCCATGTTTTAAATTGATAGTATTTTATTTAGACAATGGCTATTTTATATGTATTTTATTCTTATACAATTATGAGCAATTTGATTCAGCACGCTTGTATCTGTTTCCATGCATATGAATGCTAAATTGCAAGGAGAAACGAGACAGCAAGGTCGGCAAGCTGTGTACGCAACCAAACGACAAAGCTAGCTGGGCAAAAGAACCAAACGTGCTGTAGTGGCAAGGTTGACCTTGCTGAAATTGGCAAGCTTGCCCAGCTAAGCTATATCCCAACTCAGCGAGACTAGCAAACGCACCCTATGTAATTCCACGTGCACGAGAAATAAAATAAGATGAGATTTATGAATTGTGGCGAGCAGGAGTATGTAGGCACAGGCCGGGGTACTAACATCGGAGTGTGCCGCTTTTTGAGCGACCAAACAACCGTAGCCCTTCTTAGCCCGTAGGCCGTAGGATCATCATCAGAAAAGGACAGGCTTGCACGAGCAGGGCGGGGGGATCGGAATCGGATACCTCCGCCCGCCGGCCCGCGGCACATTGATCCATAGGCAGGAGGCTGGCTCTGCGTGGCCATCGGATCTGGACGCTCGATCGATCCATCCATCCATCCATGGCTCGGCCGCCGCGCCGGTGTGGTGTGTCGATCGATCGGAGGCAGGGAGAGGGAGCACCGCACGGATCGAATCGAACCCCGGCGTCCAGAGTTCCAGTTCCAGCAGGTGCCAGGTGGGATGGGAGTTTGGCAAACATGCTTAGGATGTTAAGACTAAGACACCCGACCAATCACGGCCTCCTAAACCGTACTCGCTTTGTAGAGTGCCAGCATGTATATATTCAAGAGAGTCTTTTTAAAACTTGCTCCATGAGGAGAATAAAAATCACTCTCTATATTTTTTTCATCATCCAGTAACTTATTTGTATCTTGTGCACACTTTGTAGAGCCAACCCCACTCTCTAACTTTATCTATCAATAAATCGGGAATAGAGTATGACAATATTTGGATATTTAATTAATGAACAGTTGGAAAGCTTTTTTTATATCAAAATTTCTATTCCTATCAATGAGGAAAGATATAAAGATGATCTTAGAGTTGCTCTTAATAAGCATTTTATTTAAAAAAAAAACTAGTCTTAACAGGCTTCGCTTGGCATGACTTCTTCTCCTTCAAGATGTTTTTTCGAAAACTAGCTGGCTCTCCATGAAAAACGAGATTTTCTGGAAGGAAAATATATAGAAATATGTTTTGATAGAGATTCTCCCATTCATCCTAGGATTCAGTTCTCATTTCCTAAAGAGTCCCCCATTTCTAGAAAGATGATAAAAAAGTTCAGTGAAGCCAAGCCAATTGCAAAACGGCGAGTTCGTGCTCTCTACTTGACATAGGTGCTCGGTATTTTTCTTAAATTTATTCCAAAAATTAACATGTCCAGTCTCTTCGGATATGTTCATAGGGCATTTTTCTAGATTTATTAGAAAATCTGACATCACCATTCCTTCGGTTGTCGATATCAAGACGCATGTAAGTAAGGCCTTGTTTAGATGACATCAAAGTTCCAAGTTTTTTCATTCTCTCTCCATCACATCAATTTTTGGACGCATGCATAGAGCATTAAATGTAGGTAAAAAAAAGTAACTAATTGCACAGTTTGGTTATAAATCACGAGACGAATCTTTTGAGCCTAGTTAGTCAATAATCGGACAAAGTTTGTCAAATACAAACGAAACGTGCTACAGTGTCCAGATTGCAAAAATTTGCAATTCGTTGAAAGCAAAGCAATTAGTTAACTAGCAATCGAACTCTTCCGCAGCACGCCTTGTCTAAGTTTAAGAGTGTCATGCATAACCCATCCTTATCCACTAAGAAAGGCAAATGTGGCCTCTAAGCACAACTGGACTTATGAAAGAGATCATGTTAATTATTAGACAATCGAATACTTCTTCTCTCATACTTATCTACTTCGCTAAGGCAGAACATCTTTTTTTCTCCTTTAAAAATTCCGAAGAAAGACAACATTGAACGCCCCAAACAATTTGTATTTGTGTGTGTATATGTATATGTATATGTATATATATATTGATCCACCCACAAGGATCAATCAAAGATTGTAACGCTAACCGTACTACGTAACGAAAGACTACCTTCTGTCATCATCACAATAAAAAATGCTCAGCATATATTGCCGTACAAGGGACCGTAGCTCTCTGACCCTCTGTTTTCTTCTCTACATACGTACAAATTTCTACCGTACCATGGCCACCGATCGTCAGCTGCACGATCGTACGGTGCCACCGCCACTGTCCGTATACGGGACGAAATTGCTGTGTCCCGTCGTCCCCTACACCACCACCATACCATACGGTCGTCTGTGCTGTATTTGTACATGTACCGCTGCTATACGGTCCATGCCTACGACTACGTGTAACGTAAGGCCGGTGGTGGGCTGGTGGCGACTGGCGCGAGGGGCAGAACCGTCCGATCCGCGCGTGCGTTGGCAGTTTTATTATTATTATTACTACTCGGCGTGGGCCGCGGGGCACGGGAGGCCCTCCCGACGATCCCGTCTCCCCCGCCCCGCACCCGCACTCCCCCTCCGTCGAGTCCACTCCGCTGTCCGCTCGCACCAACTCCTCCAATCCTCCATCCAACTCGGCAACTTCCTGCACTCCACCTCCACGCAGCCAGCCCGGCGCTTCCCAGTTCCCATCACTGGGTGGGTGGGTGGGCGGTTCGCCTCCTCCTGCCCCCTTCCCCTCCTCCTCCTCTCCACACCACGTCCACGACGATGGCGCCCGCGCCCCCTCACTGCTGACCCGCCCCCGCCGCGCGCACTCGCCCGCCCGCCCCGTGGTTTGGTAGGTGGGGGCGGTTGAGGTTGGTAGACCGGGACGTGCCTGCCGGCAGGCGGTTGCGGGAGGCGCGGCCGCGATCCCGGCCCGGATCTGAGCGCCGCCGCGATGGAGGAGGGCGCCGCTGCCGCGGAGAGTGGGATCGAGGGGGAGGGCTACGTCGTCGTCAAGGCCGCCGCGGAGGTGGAGGGTGGCCCCGCCGCCGGCGATCGCGGGGATCTCGCCGCGCCCGCCGAGGACGCGGCGCCGGCCGGATCTGAGGACGCGGCCCCCGCCCCGGCGGTGACGGCGGCGGACGAGGCGGCGGCGGCACCGGCCAAGGCGCCCGCCAAGGTGAGTTCCGTTCCGTCCCGCCTCCTGTGGCTAGCTGGCTGCCTTCGCCCGCCGCGAGTGCGGCCGTGCGGGGGTGGTGTGATCCGGCACTGACCGTCGCTCGGTTGTACGTGCAGAAGGGTGGATCCGGGGACGCCGCCGGGGCCAGGAAGGCGAAGCCGCAGAACGGCAGGGTGCCCGCCGCAACCGCCGCCTCCTCTGCTGCTCCGAGGGGTAAGAAGCCCGGGGTCCTCTCGCAGAGCGCCTCCATCCCTGCGCGGGTTGCGACGGCTGCCACCGCCGCCGCCAAGAAGGCCGCGGCTGCGGTTGCTCCGCCCAAGCAGGCCAAGGGTGCCGTGGCCAATGGATCAGAGGCCGCAGCAGGTTAGGCTGCTGTTTCCTTCTTCGTTATGTGCTCAGTCTGTGCCGCCTCAGTGGTGTCGTGTTGACTGAATTCTGGAATGGAATTGAATTGAATGTGATCGCTTGCAGGCCAGGCGTCGGAGAAGAAGGCAATTTCGGCGCGGACACCTGTTGCTCGCCGGTCTATGGTAAAGGTCCCTTCCTTTAGTGATCCGTTACTTGAAGCTTGACATGGTTCTGTCTATTTTTGGTTGCGTTGTTGTAAGACTTGGTTCGGTTCCTTTTTACTTATATAGCCTGTCAAGTCTGGATCAGTTGATGCAGCCGCCCCAAATGATGCAGTTCCCACTGTCCAAGAAGAGTAAGTGCTGGACCACTACCAATCCAGATTTGGCTGCTGTGTTTCTCTTTTGTTCCTTTTGCATCGTAATTTCAGTTACCGTCTCTAAATAGTACACACCACGCAATTAATGTGGGTCGTTTCAACATTGTGTCGCCTTCCTGTTTCTGATGCTTACTATAAATGGTTTGATCAGTGTTGTTTGTCGCACTAGATTGACTTATCAGAACCGATATGAATTTTGGTTTTTGTCGTTTTCGTCTGCTGAAAGTATTGATTTTTGGATAACAGGCAACATGAAAACACCGACAAACCAATGAAACAAACGCAGCCAGGGAAAACAGAGGATGATGTGCGCTCCACCACATCGTAAGAAATTCCTCATGATTGATTGATTGATAGCCACTTATCTGTTCTTCCCCATGGTATCAACACAAAACGCTGCTATTTCGTGTTGTGTTGCAGAAGTACCAATACTCCCCGTGCAGCAGCTCGCAAGAGTGCTGCTGCTGCTGGTTTTAGTTTCAGATTGGAGGAGCGTGCTGAGAAGAGAAAGGAGGTCTGCATTATTTTCCATAGTGGTGTTTTAGTGATCATGTTTTGTCTAGTTTTCCTTTTTCTTGTACTGAAGGGCCTTGGTCATTCCCTACTCCCAGTTCTTCCAAAAGCTTGAAGAGAAAATCCACGCAAAGGAGCTGGAAAAAACAAATTTACAGGAGAAATCTAAGGTGAGAGTTGCTTTCACATTATTTGCATAAAAAACTATGGGATACTTATATGTGTCGGTTCTGAAAGTTAATCTATGCACACTCAGGAGAGCCAAGAGGCTGAGATCAAACTGCTGAGGAAGAGCCTGACATTTAAAGCCACACCTATGCCAAGCTTTTACAAGGAGCAGCCACCCAAAGTTGAGTTCAAAAAGGTACTGAGTTGGTTTACTTCATGTAGTGAGGTTCTGGTTCCATGTGGTTTAATTGCATCCTATTTTTCTATTTGAATAGAAAGATTCACAGTGAACCAGTTTGATAAGTTTCCATTTGCACTCATACAAATACTTGTACAATTTTAGTTTTTGCCGTTGTACATTGATGGATGCACTGGCAACTATCT